TGAAGGCAGCTATGTCCTCTGTAAATGCAGGTTTGTGCTGTAGCTGCTAGGGTTGATTTTATTTTCTTAATGGCAGGCTGGTATCTCACCACCACTAGCTACTGGTGAGTGCAATTTTAGCTGTAAGAAATGGCTATGAGCACTAGTTTTATTGACTTTCCCTTGTGTGGTGGTTCTCAGGATGTAATCCAGGACCAGGAGCATCAGCAGTACCAGCATCTGGGAGCTTGTTAGACACCACATTTGGGCCCCACCACAGACCTATTGAATTGGGAACTCGGGCTGGACGCTAACAAGCACTCCCCGTGATTCTAGTGCACACTAACGTGTGAGAACCATTGCCTTAGAGGCAAGCTGGGACATCCTTGTAGGGTGTCAGGATATTTTAAGTACCATCCTCTGCCTTAGCACTAACACATTTTTCCATTTCCTCCCGTCCCTCTCTCCACCCCCATTAGAACAACAACCACGTCATTCATCTCAAAATCGAGGTTTGTCTTCCTTCTACTTCCTCCTCAAACCTGTCCTGCCTTGGTCTGGACAAGAATTGTCCCATATTCCCTTGCAGACTGGTTACTCCACATTCTTTGTTACAGGAAGGTCCAGCTGGAGCTCTAGCTGTCCTGTACACACACACACACACGCACGTCTACACACCCCTTTCCGGCAGGGAGATGAGCCTCCAGCCCCAACAGTGGAGGCTGCCGCCTCCGGACATAGTATCTGTTGAAAGCAAGCCATGTGTATCTATGGTTATAGCTCTCTTCATCTGTATATCTTTGACATGTAGCAGCACCTCTCCGTCTCACCAAGGAGCTCGACTCTGGGTCTGGGTCTCCCCCAGTCCCCAGGGGTGTACTTTGACATGTGGGAGGATGTAGTGCTACAGGCTGTTTTGTTACAAAACTGTCTTGTCCCCTTTCCCTGCCACCCCACTCAGCATGATCCCTGTGAGCGGGCTCTCACAATCTCCTGGGACAGGCTGAGGCAGAGGCTTCACTCTCTTCTCCCTCCCCCTCCCCTCTCCTATCCCCCTTCCCACCCAGCAGTTATCCCCCGCCCCCCGCCATGCCTTCTCCTGCTCCCCCTCGCCCTGACATATATTGTGCCTTATTTATGCTGCAAATATAACATTAAACTATCGAGAGAACCACTGTTCTGTCTAATGCTTCAGTACTCTCATCTTCGAGTCCCGTTGGTCACTCTTGCTGGGAATTCATCGGGCTTTCATGTTTTTGCTCTTCCTCACTCTCCTATATCTGAGGACAGAAGGAGCAGGGATTCTTATCCCTCTTTTTTATGCAGGGAAGACACAGCCTAAAGAAGGTAGGTGGTTCATATAAATTATAGAACACGAAAGAAGGTACTGAGATTAGGGGTCAGATCTGTGCACTACCCTGCGGACAGGGTCCTTGGCATCATGGGAGCCTCATGGCTAAACTCATGGGCTTTATGTGGATAGGGGATGGTAGGGTGTGCGAAGGCAAGCGTCCTCTTCCCTTTCAGTGTTTTGTCCCCTCCTTCCCAACAATAAAAACAAAAACAAACCCTACTCTCAGGAAGTTTTGACATGACTGGGGGAGCGCACACATAGAAAGGGAAGCTGTCCACAGATTCTATCAGTTCTGTGGATGTGGGGAGGAGCTCGTTTTGGAAATGAGGGGTGGAGCTTGTTTGCAAACGGGTAAAAGTCACAAGGAGAACAAGTAATGGTCAGGAACTATGGTGAGGGATAGGGCAGTCTGTGTATCCCTAGATAATTAGCACAGGTGAGAAGAGTGAGCCAGGCTGAAAAACTTGACCAGGAGGTAGCAGGTGCGTCTGAGGCTTTCCCCGTACAAGAGGAGTGATAAGGGAGCGGTTTGTGGTTGGCGTTTGGAGTAACCGACACAAGCAGGGAGACTGTGTCTCCGGAGGAGAGTGGAAAGGTAGTGGTGATCTTCCCTGTGTTGTGGTCAGGAGCACATGGGGTTACAGAGAAGGGTAAGAAAGTAAGTTGCTGAGAGCCAAATACCAAAGCCAAGATTGAGACGTTTTGAAAGGAGACCGAAGGTAGGGCAGTTTCCCAAGTTCTAGAAGAATTAAGCCATTGCCCCTACAGGCCTTTTTGTTTTCTTGCACTTCACTTTATCACACTTTAAAGACTCTGCATGTTTGTGTGTGTGGTTGGTTGGTTTTGGGGTTTTGTTCTTTGTTTTTACAAATTGAAGGTACAAGCCTTTAGTGGAGGAAGTAACTATAGTTGTGGAAATAGCAAGAGAACTAGACTTAGAAGTAGAGCCTGAAGGTGGGACTGACCGAATTGCCGCCGTCTCATGATAAAAGTTGAACAATTGAGTTGCTTTTTGTGGATGAGCAAAGAAAGTGGTTTCTTGAGATGGAATGTGAAGACTGTAGGAATGACAAAGGACTTAGAATATTACAGGGGTGCCTGGCTGGCTCAAGAGAGCACACGACTCTTGATCTCATAGCTGTGAGTTCCAGCCTCACACCGGGTATAGAGATGACTTAAAATCTTTAAAAAAAAAATTTTTTTTTTAAATTAGAATATTACAGGAACTTATTTGATAAAGCAGCAGCTGAGTGTGAGAGGTTTGGCTCAGTTTTGAAAATTCTATGGGTAAAAACTGTCAAACAGTATCACACACTACAGAGAAATCGTTTGTGAAAGGAAGAGCCAATCGATGTAGCAAACTTCATTGTCAATTTAAAGAAATTGCCACAGACACCCCACCCTTCAGCAACCACCAATCTAGCAGTGAGCAACATCAAGACCAGACCCTCCAGCAGCGAAATACTGACTTACAGGGCGCCTGGCTGGCTCAGTCAGTAGAGTGTGGGACTCTCGATCTCAGGGTCTTGACTCTTGAACTCAGCCTGAGTTCAAACTCCACATTGGGTGTGGAGCTTACTTGAAAAAAATTTTTTAAATAACAATCATATTTAAGCAATATTTTAAGATTTTATTAGAGCGCAAGTGAGAGAGAGCACAGGTGGTGTGGGGGGAGGGTTAGAGAGGAAGAAGCAGACTCCCCACTGAGCGGGGAGCGGGATGTGGGTGGGACTCCATTGCAGGACACCCGAATCATGACCTGAGCCAAAGGCAGATGCTTAATTAACCAAGACTGAGCCACACAGGCACCCCTAAGCAAATTTTTAAATTAAGGCATACACATTGTTTTATTTTGTTTTTCAGATATAATGCTATTGCACACTTAATAGGCTGCAGTGTAGTGTAAACATAACTTTTATATACACTGGGAAACAAAATTCATTTGACTCCCAGTGCGTTACTTGCTTTATTGTGGTGGTCTGGAACTGAACCAGCAGTATCTCCAAGGTGTGCCTATGTCTGCCAAGGGAGAGAGCAGTCCCCTCCCTCCTGGACATAGGAAGTTAGCTAGACCGGACCCTTGCTGAATTGAGCCTCAGCTCAGGTCCACTTGTAATTGATGATCAGGGATACTAGGAGAGTCAGGGTTGTGAACATTTATTAGCTGCTCTGTGCTAGATGGAACACAAGACACTTTGTATTCAGTAAGTCATTCACTTTTCGCAACAACCTCTTGATAACAGGAGTAGTTGCCTCATTTAAGATGAACTAAGGTTTCGGTTAAGACATTTGCCAAGGCGCACAGTAAAGTGCAGGAGCTGGGGTGAAAACCACTCCGAGCCCAGAGCTACTCTGTGCAGTCCCAAGGCCCACACCCCCTCACAGCCCTGCTCTCTGGACTGCTGTCAGGGAAGAACAGAGAAGGACCTTGATGTGGCATAGGATCCATTTCCCACAGAAAAACCCATGGACTGGATCGTCCCTTTTAAGAAGCAGTGAAATTCCAGGATGTAGTGATGAGGACCGCCAGGTTCTGTGCTTGGGACCAGCTGGGGAACAAAGCATACAGAAGGGTTCACCCTAGCTTAGGCCGAATTAGTATCTAAAACATCCAGATGAACCTGCTCTGTTCTACTTCCCCCAAATTATGAATTGGTTTCTAGATGCCTTGCTTTAAAGGGAGCAGGGGGGATCCCCTTAAGACTGCAGAGTGGAAGAGGGATATCTGTCTTCAGATACATGGAAGGCTTACACACATGAAAGATGTGCAATGTTCTGTAACTTCATGGGAGCCAGCTTGGTTCTCAGGTAAGCCTGCTTGATCACTGTCTCAGGAGACAAGTTCACTGGGACTCGTGTATGCAGGGGCAGCACAGCTAACGCTTTTGAGGACATTTGTTCTGTGCCCGATCCTGTGCTGGGTGGATTACAAGAATTATCTCAAATAATGCTCACCCTAGAAAGTAGTTCCTTTCAATGTTGCCATGTTTTAGGTGAAGAAACTGCAGTTTAGAGAGCTTGCTTGCCCAAGACTGATGCACAGGCTCTTGGCACCATGGCCGCTCTGCAGCATAGATAGGCTGGAGAACCACACTGGAGTCGGGAGGCCAGGCAGTGATGCTCAGGAAGGGATTCTAAGGTCAGAAGGAAAAGTGAACCAGATGACTTTAAAGGACTCCTGAGGAAAAACGATTTTTGCCTAAAAAGGCAGGATTCTTGTCGCCTGCCCTCACAGGTCGGAGCCCGGCAGAGGCTGGGGTGACTAGAAGGAGGTGAACAAAACCAGATACCAACCCTAGTATCCTGCCCCTGCCTTTCGGGGACCCCTTAGAGTCAGGGCGGTAGGAACCTCCATGTACGTAGCCTCACCCCTCTAAGAGCAGAGACAGGAAATGGCCGGCCCTGACAGTGTCAAGCTGTGGCCACAGGGTGGCAGCAGAGTGCTTCAGCTGTAAAGGACGGCGGCAGATGCCCAGGTGAGGCAGAGCCTGAGTGGGGCTCCCCGGTGAGCATGGGGCTTGTGTCCATGTTGGGGAGCAATCCCCACTTTCTGTGGGCTCTGAAACCTTTTAGTCTCCTTCTGTATCCCACTTTCCTATCCACAGGCAAATGTCAGAGGAGTGCCTCCATATTTATTCCCCCAAAGGGCACAGAGGCAAGGGGATGACCCCTGCGGAAGCCATAGTCACAAGAGGGACCAGGCTGGGTCATCCTGGCTCACTCTAACCCTGGCTCTTCCCTCCTTTCCTCTATTCCAAGACAGGTGCCTAGACCTTCTTGACAAGACTTCCTCTATGCTTTTACTCTCAAGTTAGGAAAGCGAGGCGGTGAGCGATTGGAACTCTCGAAACTGTTGAGGAATAGGGGTTCTTGAAGGCCCCCTAGGGCCTGGCTCTGACAAAGCATCTGCAATTAATGATGCTTCTTGAGCTTTGGAGACAGAATTTATGCATCTAATAAAGTCTGTAACTCCAGCCTTAGGGGCTGGGGGCCGGAGGCTGGGAGCAGGAAGTCCCAGAGGTGCCGTGGGAGGGGCTCCCAGGCGGCTCCTCATGGAGCGATGCATTTCCCTCGCCTGCTCTAGACTGCCCCTCAGGCTGCCGCGGGGTGGGGGGCTCAGGCCACCGCAGGTATAAGAAGCGGGTATGGCTCCAGGAAGGCAGATGGCAGCATGGAGCCCAGGCGGGCCGCAGTGCTGCTGATGGTGCTGCTACTAACAGATGGAGGCTGTGCTGGAGGACCAGGCGATGGAGGTGAAGACCAGATCTTCATGGTAAGTTACTGCCCGAGCCCCATGTCACGATTTTTCTTTGTTTTTATTTTTTAAAAGATTTTATTTGGCGAGAAGGCGAGTGAGAAGAGGGGCAGAGGGCAGGGAGAGAATCTCCAGCAGGCTCCACAAGATGCAGAGCCCAATGGGGGGCTTGATCCCACAACCCTGAGATCACGACCTGAGCCAAAATCAAGAGTGGGCCACTTAACGGACTGTGTCACCTAGGCACCTCCCCCTGCTCCCCCACTGTCACCATTTTTCTATCTCCGCTTGAGACTTTGCTCTCAGTTCAAATATTCTGGCTGCCACGGTCTTCAGTGGGTCCTCAGCCTCCTACAACGTGCCTGAGTCACTCCTTTTCCCCGTGTGACCTAAAATGTCCACGGCCTTTGCCCATCTTCCCTCCCCAATGCCCCTGTACCACAGGAGGAAGACAGCGGAGCCTACCCACTGCAGGAGGTCCAGACCCCTGGGTCACTCCTGCGTTCCCTGCTCCAGGCCATGCAGAGACCTGGCCGGAGCCCAGCCTTTCTGTTCCAGCCCCAGAGGTGAGTCTGAGAGAGACAAGGTCCAGGCCTGAGCTAAACAGGAGGGTGGGGGCTGGAGGAGGGAGGGGCTGAAAGGGTCTACAGTTCAAGATGGATCTCTCCCAAGGTTTGGCAGAAACGCCCGGGGCTCCTGGAGCAGTGAACAGCTGAGTCCCCAAGCGGGGGAGGGGCTCAGCTCCCCCTTCTGGAGTCTGGCTGCCCCTCAGCGCTTTGGGAAGAAGTGACCTGTCATCCCTTGATATGTATGCATGCGAAGCTCCCAACTACAAGGGCCAGGCCTCCCCTCCTCCCCTAATAAAGCTGTGGCTTCTGAATCCATGTGTCTGTCCGTCTGAGACTTGAAAGGGCAGGAAGAGAGCCCCAGGGCCAGGGCCACAGCCCCCTCCATCTCTGTCAAACCAAGCTCTGCAGGAACACAGGTGATGGGGCCTCCTGCCACCAGAACAAGGTGGGGAGGCACAATAGGGTACCCTATGCTAACCTCCTCTGCTGTCAGCCCTAGGCAGGGGAACAGAAAGAGCGGGGTTTAAGAATCCAAGAGGCAGCACATTTATTCCAGGCTCTCAGGAAGAGCCCCCAGATTTCATTCCCACTCATCATCACCAGTGCCATGAGGACAGATCTTGGGCCAGCCAAGGCCCTGTGGTCCCTGGCTGCTGGCCTGGTGTCCTCCTCAGCCTGCAGGCAGGCAGTCTGTGCCAGAGGTAGAGACGGCACCTCCGGGGTAGGGCGGCACCAGAGCTGAACAGACGCGCGGGCTGGGGGAAGAAGAGCAGGGCGCCAGGAGGCATGTCAGAGTCCGGCTGGGGCTTTACTTGCTACCCGCCATGATCTTGAGGTACTGCAGGGCCCGGCGAGCTGCCTCCCCACGAGCTGCCTCTCTGGTCGTCGCAGAGCCGTGACACACAGTCGCTGGCTGCGTGGACAGCTCCACCAGGCACTGGCAGAGCCCACTCAGGCTCAGTTCTTCTGGAGACCGAAAGAGAGGATGGAGGTGGTGTTGGATGGGAAGGCAGCACGGGGAGGGGGGTATCCGCATCCTCGTGGTCATGCCCTCCCCAACCCCCTGTGGGCCCGTCCGTACTTGCTCCGGCTCAGTCCCCACCATCCCCTGGCCTCCCAACTAGCCATACCAATATCCAGGTAGCTGACATGGAAGGCCTGCTCCTCAGACAGCTCACTAAGGACACTGCAGCAGGCAGGGCCCAGAGCACCTAAAGCGCCCAAGGAGCAGCTGCGGAGGGACAGGATCTTCTCTCCCACTGAATTCCGCAAAGAATCCCAGGTGCAGCCTGGACCCCGGTTCCGAAGTCCATCCAGGCGGGAGCCCACACCCTGACAAGATGGCGACAGAGAAAGACGCAGCCATGAACTGAGACCAGGCATTGAACAGTACATTCGATGCCAAGGAGAGAAAAACCCACAAAAGGAATGCTTCATCCAGCCAGCCTTCCCCGAGTTGGCCCCCTCTAACCACTGGAGTCTGGGCCAGGGGTCCAGGCAGCCTTCCTCATTCCAGTAAGTGTAGGCTCCAGGGCTCCTGGGCCACCTCCCCACAGCACTCGCCAAGTAGGCCTACAGCTGAGGTTGTGGGGAGGGGGACAGCCAAGGAGGTCCGGGAGAAAAATGGGCAGGAGCTGGCCTGGGATCCAGAGAGGCTCACCCCTAGGTGACAGGCCCAAGTCCCCAGTGTCCTGCCTGGCATGGAGGATGGACCACAGGGCCTGGCCCACACAAGCCACTTACAATGGAGAAGTGATCGTCATCGGGCTCTGCCTCATTCCCATCCCGGGCATCCAGAGGCACCGTGTGCACTCGAAGCAGCATTTTGGCCGCCGCATTACGCTTTGCCAGCTTTTTGGAGGTGCCGCTGCCTGCGTGTGGGGAGAGGGTTGCTGGGTTATGATTCCCAACAGGCTTTCCAGTGCTTTCCACCCAGCTCAAGCTTGGGGTCCCCTGTGGGATGTCAACTGGAAAGAGGAGCTTGGGCCCTGCCATGCACCTAAGAACCTGGTCAGCCAGAGAGGGTCGGGGGAGGCCAGGACAAAGCAGCAGCTGGGAGAAGGAGCTGAGCCAGGGGTCTCAGCCAGGACAGTGAGGCTGTAGCACAGAGAGGCTAGGAGTTGCCTTGGCCAGGGCTGGAGTAGCGTCAAGAACTCCCCTCTGCCCAGTTACCAATCTCAATGAAACGTTCCACACGGCAGGTCATGGTAAACTCTTTGCGGTGGGCCGGCCCAGACTCCTGGGTCACCGTGTACTCGGGCAACCGCCAGCCTTTCTGCACCACCAGCTCCTTGGGAAGGAGAAACAAGGGTGCACAAGGCAGAGTGAGAAAAGACTCCTTACATCCTCTCCCTCCTACCCTGGGAGCCTCAGATTCCAGGGAGGAGGAACGAAGGGGGGTGGGAAAAGCCCTCAGAACAGGGGAAGAGCCCCCGCATAACCGTCCCTCACAGCCCCAGGTCCAAGGGAAGACAGGCATGCACAGGAAATGAGGATGGGGGCACACCTGCAGAGCGCCAACAGGATTGCACTCAGACTGCTGAGGGGAGACGGGGGGCTGCACCTCCATGGGGGGGGTCCTGAAGGAAAAAGGGTCCAGGGCCAAAGCTGATGGGGCTATCCCTTTTGTGGCTCTCCATGAGTCCTAAGCTCTGCTCTGGTGTCCCCACTACCATCTCCCTAGTGTCTGCCAGGCAAGCAGCTGTCTCTCCAAACATCCAGCCTGCATCCTCCCTTTCCCACCCAAGTGAGGTCTCTTCCAGGGCCCAGGCCCATTTAGATTTTTCTGGAACACCGGATCATCACCTTGGCAGAATAGTGGGCGAGGGGCTGTATATCCAGTCCCTGGAAGCACCTGATGGGAGGCACACACAGGACCATCATGTGACCAATTCAGAAGAAAATGGGGCCTTCGAGACCCTTGAACATGGTCAAACACCTCATCCCTGTGGCTATTTAAAAGTCATAAATTACCTCCTGTCCCAAGAGCTTACCAACTGGTGCAAATTCTTCAAATTCTGGTCCCCAACTATTCCATCCTCTGTTTACTCTCAGACTTCCTCCTGCCTGACCAGCTGGGGCCAAGGGCTGGGGGACCAGGAGCCAGGACCCCTTCCTCCCCCCTTCAGGCCAGCAGGAAATACAAGATACCTGGTTGGAACAGCAGATGTAACAGGAGTAGCAGCCGCAGCAGCAGGAAAAACTGGAATGTCCTCAGGCAGTGAAGAGTCTAGGGGAGAAAAAGAACTTCCCGAGGGGAAGGGGGCCTTTGATTCACACCCATGTTGGGGGTGGGGGGAGTAGAGGTTGGGGACCCAGGTCCTCCTGACCTGCCCATTCCCTAAGAAAATTCCTTCCCACTGGAGCCAAAGACTCAGGGAAGCTTAACCACCAGCTTTTCCTCCTCGGAGCCTTTGCTGCCAAACACTGGATCAAGAAGACTAAGAAAAGGGGAAGGAGGGTCTCTTCCTACCCAAGAAACACGGGGAGGCAAAAAACCTCCAATGTAGGTGTGGAAGAGGGAAGGACAACCTGCTAGAGAGAGGAGGCATGTTGGGGTGCAACCCCTCTAGCCTCAGCCTCCACCCCTTTCCCTCCCTAGCCGGGCCCAAACCACAGCCACAGCCCCTTGACATTCCCCCCAAAGGGTCCTTCACAGCAGCAGAAGCCCTGGCAGCATCCTGCTCTGTCCAGAGGAAACTCTCAGGAAGGGGCCAGGTCAAGGTGGCTAGGTGTCACCAGGCCAGGCCTACTGGGCAGAGGAGGTGGCGCAGGGGCCTGGGTTCCTGGCAGGGCCTCTAGGAAGCCTCGGCTGTTCCTCCCTCACCTGCTGTCCTCCAGGGCCGGCTCCAGCATGCTCCCCCCTTTGAGGTGTTTGAGGGCCACCTCAGCTGCCTTGTGCTTGGCTGCCTTCTTGCTGGGGCCCTGACCTGAGAGAGGGGCGTGGGCAATACTGGAGGTCACTGGGAGGACAAAAGAAAAACCAGCATCCCACAGCTTCTCTCCTCATAGCTGGAGGGAGTCAACCAAGCCCCTCTCACCAACTGCCCCTGCCCAAGATTGGAAATGTTACACTAGTTGCTAGAAGGGAGGGCTTTTATCTTCCCCAGAGCTCCCCAAATCAAGCTGTGTCAGGCGGAAGCCCCTGAGCTCAGACACCTTGGGTGGAGATTCTTTCTCTGCTTTACTTTCCTCTGGGAAGCACCTTCTTTTCTCTCAATAAATAGAGATGGCTGGAAAAGCAGAAAGAGGGTAGGCTCTAGAGTCAAGGCCTGGATCTGCCACTCACTAGACACGTGACCTTACACCACTCACTGAAACCCCTCTGAGTCTCACTTCCCTCCTGTTCAACTTGAGGATACTACCACTTCTATCGCAGGATCAGACTGTGGTTTAAGATTAACTAGGGGGACGCCTGGGTGGCTCAGTTGGTTGGGCGGCTGCCTTCGGCTCAGGTCATGATCCCGGCAACCTGGGATTGAGTCCCACATCGGGCTCCTTGCTCGGCGGGGAGCCTGCTTCACCCTCTGCCTGCCACTCTGTCTGCCTGTGCTCGCTCTCTCTCTCTCTGACTAATAAATAAATAAATAATCTTAAAAAAAAAAAAAAAAAAAAGATTAACTAGGAATTTGGTCAAGCACCTGGAAGAGCCCAGTGCAGCAGGCACTGACTCCCCCCAAATACTTCACTGAGAATTTGGTTTATCTCCTCTTTCTCCTCTAGGATGATGACAATCTGCCAGATCACTGTGCCAGTCCTGCGTGCTCCTCTAACTCTCCCAAGCCCTACCCACCTCCTCAAAGACCCATTTTCCCAAACCAGTCAGTGGCTTTTCCCCTGAAATCTCTCCTTCCCTCACTGGCTTTGGAGAAAAGGACTGCGAAGAGACTCCAAGAAACAAAGCCAACAGGGCCCTGGGAATGCACACCCCAGCCAGGATGCCCAAGCCTTCCTCACCAGTGCAGCTGGTGTCGCCAACGGTGACCCGGAAGGTGAAATTAGGTTGGTGGGCTTGGCCCTCGGCTTTGAGGAGGTCGTACACGGGCGTCTTCCCTATTCTGGTCCCATACTCCTGCAGAAGGCTGATCGGGGTCTTGCCCGGGTTGGCTGCCAGCATTTGCTCTATACTGGGGGAGGCGGGGGGCACAGACTCTTATCACACGTCCAACTCTGCACCCACCTGGCCAAGCACTGTCATATCAGACCCAGGCACACTATGGGGGACATAGGGTCCAGGGGACCCCGGAGAGTAGAGAAGACATTAGCTGGATTCAATGTGGAGTAGGGATGCAGGCTGGGAAAGCAGGGTGCACGGCCCCCAAAGCAAGCGGGGAATGCACTGTTCCAGTCTCAGTTAAGGAGGAGGAGCTCGTACCCCAGTCCAGTTAGGAAGTGCATGTCCCCTGACACAATGCAGGCCAGGGACCCGGTACCCACCAAATGCACTGAATGTCGAGAGCATAAAGCCCAGTGCCCCAAGTGCAGTCTGGGAACCGGGCCAACCCCAAACTATTTAGAGCAAGAGGCAGTGGCCACTGCCGAGATGCATGCCGGGAACCACGGCCCACTACCCCAGTGCTTGCCGGGAACAACCCTCAGGCCAGGTGCATGCTGGGGCCGCGCCGATACCTCCTCCGCACCGCGCCACGCTTTTCGCCCGGCAGGGATCGGTAAAAAGCAACTCACCTGGGCAGCCCGCAGCCCGTGGTAGTGCCGGAGCCCTGCTCCTCTTCACTCATTCCCACCTCCGTCCCCGCGGGCGCCACCGCGACTGCAACCTCAATGCGCCCCAATACACCACCGACGAGCTAGGGCCGGGGCCAAGCCCCGAGTCGCGGCCGGTCGGGCCCGGCGCGGGGCATGCCGGGACATGGAGTCCCCCGCCCACCCGACTCCATGAGTCTCCGTCGGGAGGGGAGCTATCCGCCCCACAACCCTCCGCGTGGCTTGCCCCGGCATGCAGCACCGCCTTCTGGGAGGAGCGGAGTCGTCCACTGTCGCTTCCCGAGCTGAGGGCGGTTTCGTGTGTGTGTGTGTGTCTGTGTGTTTGTGCGCGCGCGCATTTCTTTTTTAAATAGCGTCCCGCCTCCTTTTTTCCGCGTCTCCGCTCCCTGGAGCGGGCATGCGTAGTAGCAGAGTGGAAGCAGCTGGGGGCGGGGCGGTAAGGGCTAACTGGAGCCCTGGACTCTTTGACTCCCGAGGAAACTACAGAACCCAGGAGCTCGCGCGCCATCTTTGTCGCAGCTGGAGGGGCAGGGTCAGGCATGCACGAAAAGCTTCGCGGTATAATTGGTTATTTCCGATTGCGCCTACTTCTCTAGGCAGATAGCGATTGGTTACTTTACTTAGAAGGCAGGGACAAGGAAAGAGTCATCCCCTTCTGGTTCCGCCTCTTTACCGAGGAAAGGTGGTGATTGGTCCCGGGGCGAGGCGGCTGTTGGATCCTGGCTCTTTGCAGGCTTGGGGCGGGGGTGGCCCTTACCTGGACGCGGGAGGAGACTGTTCTTTGCCCCTCAAGCGGAGGGGCAAGCCAAGTGCGTTTCAGGCAGTACTCCTTCAGCCCTCAACTTAAACACCTGGCCCTTGGGCCTTCGTCTCACAGCACCTGCTTCCTTTCCCTAGGTTGCCCTTCACCTCCCTTCCCCTTAATTCTAGCCCGCAGCTAGAATTAAAAGAAATGGTTTCATTTCTTTTCTAAAGCCTTTTTAGAATGACCCTAGTGAACCTTTCTGTAGCTGTCCAGGAGATCCCCTCGAGAATCAGGCTATAGTGGGACAACAGGACTAGAAGGACGAACGCAAGTCGTGGTCTTATTCCCTCTGCTTGTGGGTCTTGGTCTCTCAGCTGAAGAGACAGCAAGAGAGGCTTCTGGTCTCTTAAAACTAATCCACTAATCTGGGTGCAGAGCAGAACACTTATGTTTGGGTCCCAGAGCTCCAGTCTCTCCTCCCCAAAGTCTCATGACCACGGGGTTAAAAGATGTTGGAAAATCTTGTGACCTTGGAGAGAGATCACGAAAATGTCTGGTTCTAATGAGTGTCCTGAGAATGGGTCAGGTACTGGAGGTTCAGGGGACTCTTGCAATGATAATGAGGAACGCTGGAGGGGGACGGGGAATTGAGCTGAGTGGATTCCAATTGGGTAAAACTGGAGTGGTGACAATTAGGGGAAGGAAATCTGGCAAGATCGGCATGGCGCGGGGAGCAATGCTACAGCTCTGGGCGGGTGGGGGGTATCCCACGTTGAAGGGCTTGTGTCTCTGGGAATAGGAAGGAGTTTATAAAACTGGTCATAGGGGGCTCCGACGGAATCAGCGTAAGGCCCGAGGTGCGACTGTCACAGGACACCGCCTGCAGGGAGGTGAGGGGCCCAGAAGGGCCAGGGACGAGCCTGGAGCGCGCCGGATGGCAGCGGCAGGCTCCTTTAAGAGGCCGGCGGCTCCAGCGCAGCATCCCCCGCTCAGGGCGTGTCCGTCCCGGGGGGCCAGGGGCGGGGGCCTTGGAAGGAGCGGGAGTTCAAGCCGAGTGGGCAAGGGGCTCGGGGTCGGGGGGCGGGGGGAGGAACCTGGGGCTGACACCAGTGCACCCGGACACCGCACGAGCCTCGCCTGTGACAGCGCCCCGGGTCCGGTCGAGGGCAGCGGGGGGAGGAGAGAAGGAGGAGGAGAAGGAGGAGGAGGCGGGAGCAGCATCCGGAGCCGAGCTGCAGCAGCGCCGCCTTTTGTGCTGCGGCCGCGGAGCCCCTGAGGTGAGAGCCTGGCCGAGTTGGGGGGTGGGGGGCAGGGATGGGTCCGGGTCCGGGGATACGGGTGCGGAGGGAGGGTCGGGGATGCAGATGTGGCGGGGTGGGGTAGGGTGGCGCGGGGATGCTGAGGCTTCGGGGCGGAGGAAACTGGGGACCTGGACCCGACGCCTGTGGGGATGGGAAGGAGGGGAACGGAGCGGAGGGACGCCGCGGCCCAGCTTGGAGACGAAGGGCCTCCAGAGCTGGAAAGGACCGTATGGGGGGGGGGTGGGGGGATGATTGGGGGACAGACTTAAAGGGCAGCGGGCAAGAGAACACCCTCCTCTCCTCCCACTCATCTTCCAGGAGGAAGAGAGGGAAGGAGGAGGAAGAGTTTGGGCCCTCTCAGGGAAGGAAAGGAAGGAATGGGCCTGATGTGCCCACCGCCCGCCTCACCACCACCCCCACTCCCACACTCAGCCCGCTGCACCTGAGGATTAGAGGGTGCGAGCACCTGTTCCTGGATGCCCAGGTGATGGCCCTCCTCCCCTTCCCTCTGATGCCCCCAATCCCTTCCAGCTGTGGTATTCACCTTCTCCATCCAGCTGTTGCTTCTTCCCCTCCCCCATTCATTTGTGGTTTTCTCCCTCTTTCTCTCCATCTCCTCTGGCTCCCCTAACCCAATTCCCCAGCCCAGGCCTTTCAAGAACCTCCTCCCTTTCCCCCACACATTTCTCAAACTCCTTGGCTAAAAAATAAGCAAGAATCTGTTCCACACAGTTGTGCCTCCGGATAACTATGGCCTTAGCCAAGGGGAGGGAAGAGGGGGTCAGAGGCTCTATAGAGAGTGGAAGGAAATCGGTGGGGTATCCCTTAGCATAGAAGGAGTCCCACCTTTGGGGACTTTAACTCTGCACCTGCTCCCTCTTGAGAGAAGAGTGGGTGGGTGGCCCTCAGCCAAGAAGGAGTGTGCCTGAGGTCTCTCCCCAACCCAGAGTCCTCTCAGCCACAACCACCACCTCCCTCCAAACGACATTTCCCTTCCATCTCACAGGATGGACTCCTTGGCTCTGGGAGCTCTGATTGTCAGCCGGAGGGTAATATCGAGGGAAGGCAAGCACAAGGGATTCTGGAAGGAAAGGGCTCAAGAGCTCCCTGGCCTTCCTGTCCAGACAGCAAAGTTTCCCAGAGTGCCATTCAGGGCCTGCTGTCTCCCATCTCACACTTCAGGGTGGCCAAGAGTGCTTGCCCTCTTGAGCCAGCCACTCATCTGTTCTCCCAGTGGGGACTGAGGTGATGTTGGGGAGTCCAAAGGTGTGATATCCCGACTCCAGCACTCATGATAACACAGCTAAATACCCATCCCCGAATTAAACCCAGCTATGGGCAGAGGAGGCAAGAAGTTTAAGTAAGGACTGGCTTTGGACGTCCTGTGTGTCCTCACAGCTAAGGATGGCAGGACCCCTCTCAAACCAGCTGCTGTGTCCCCGTCCTTCCCCTTGAGGTGACAGAATGGTCATCTGGCTTCCAGGAAGAGGACCCTAAATCCTAGTGCCCACCACCCCAAACTCGCCCAGTGGCATCTCACATGTGGTCCTCCCTCTCCCCTGCCTGGCCTGGGGAGGAAGAAGGGACTAGAAGTCCCTCCTGGGGCAGAAGGAGGATACTGTGGAGACAGGCTAGCAGGTGACACGTGGGCTTCATGAGGGGTTGACCACAGCGACTGGTCTGTCTTGTTTGCTTCCAGGAGGACCAGGGTCATCTTTGCTTTTGGGGAAGGTGCTGAGGTAGGAACACTAGGGCTGAGGGGCCTAAGGGTCATTCAGGACAAAGAGCCCTTAGTCTTGGGTTCCTTCTCGCGGTGCTATTCTTTTTGCCCCTTGCGTTTGCCCACCTCCCTTTCCACCCGTACCCTCTCTACTGCAGATGAGGAAAAGGGGAAGAAGGGAAGGGAATCATATTTATAAAAGAAACCCTGCTCCTGCTTGTTAGGCACTTTTTGGCGTGGCTCGTGTTTCTAGGGAGCTTCGTGCTTCGTGTGTGCCGGGTCCTGGGTCAGGAACCTTGCTGAGATTCTCTCACTAGTGTTAAAAGACTAAGAGTTGAGTGTTCTTGTCATCCCTGTCTTAGGGATGAGGAAACTGAAACTTAAAGTAGTAATTTCTTTAAACTTTGGGGGAAGAGCTTAGGTCTTGGACTTAGGGCTGTCTAACCCAGAACCACTGTGTTCTAGACTGTATGACCGCTGTGACAGGGGTACCTCGGTTCCCATTCAGAGAGAAGAATCAGGTTTGTTCAGAAGTGTCTTACTCCAGATTGCCTGCCTGGTCAGGAGCAGAGACAGGACATCAACCAAACCTCTCTAATTCCCAGGCTACCCACTCACCCATTATCCCAAGCCGGGTGACAGGAGCAGATGGGCACTCCTGATTTTTATTTCCTCATTTTCAATTCAAAATCTGATTTTTTATTTTAAAGGCAATTGAAACTTATTGCTGAAATATTAGAAAATACAGATAAGCCACAAGAAGGAAATAAAAGTATCCACAATTCCACCTACCTAGAAATGGCTACACTTCGGTACCTGTCCTTCCAGATCTTTTTATATTTTTATTTAAGATTTTTTTTTAAGATTTTATTTGTTTATTTGACAGACAGAGATCACAAGTAGGCAGAGAGGCAGGCAGAGAGAGAGGAAGGGAAGCAGGTTCCCTGCTGAGCAGAGAGCCCGATGCGGGACTCGATCCCAGGACCCTGAGATCATGACCTGAGCCGAAGGCAGCGGCTTAACCCACTGAGCCACCCAGGCGCCCTTATTTATGATTTTTGATCTTCCAGATCATTTTAAATGTGCATCCACCCCAGGAACTATTTGCTTAAATGTGCTATACTTCTTCTGGGTCCACCTGAGGACCTGAGTAGGAGGGACACTGTGGCGCTTCATACTCTGCTTCTACCCCTCCTTTCCCTTCCCTCCTGACCTTAAAGGGTAGGGCTGTAGGGTGATCCTGGGCCATGTTGGCCAAGGGTGAGTATGTGGTGCAGGCCTTCTCCCTTAGTCCAGAGGTGGTGGAATGATAGGATTTGTAGAGGAAGGACTGAGGGTCTGGTAGCAAAGAGACCAATGACTGGGGACTCCAGTGCCCCAAGGCCACTGGGACCTGGTTTCCCTGGGACCTGATAGTGAGAAAAGTCCTGCAGAATTAGAATGTCTGAGACCCAGTCTGCCTTTTTCTGGTCATACGAAGAGCTGGCCTCTCCAGAAGCCACAAAGACAGACCCGGTGTCCAACTAACCAGGAGGACAGAGTCAGGACCCAGGCAGTGTGCTCACGGCATTCCCCACATCAACTTAAACCGTCCCCACCCCAGAAGGTAGAGCGGGGAGCCTTGAAGGGGTAACATTCTTCAACTCGTGGCAAAACTAAGGTTCTGGCTCTGATCTCTCCAAATCCAAAGTTAGCTCTTTTTTCCTAAATAGCCCTGCCCCCTCCCCCTGCCCCGTCACTTCCCAGCTGACTGGAAGAAGAGGTGGTGGCACCAGGGGGGCCATCTCAGGACTTGACCTGTATGAGGTTGGGGGGGTGCCTGGATTTAGGGGTGATCTCCAATTTACCCCAAGTTCGTTGGGGAAGACATTCCCCCCTGATGAAGGCACTGACAAAGCTGTAGTGCCTTCCATCTGAAAAGAACCCTGTATTCAAAAAGAAAAACAGCTGCGGCCAGTGGCCAGGAGGCAAGGTCAAGAGGGGTCACGGTCCTTTATCCTATCAGGATCTCAAAGCCTGTAGAGGTGGAACTAGCATCCCCCCCAGAATCTTGGGTTTCCTTTCCCTATGAAGACCTTCCTTCTCACCCTCACTTAAGAGAGAAGAACCTTCTTCCTCTTTTTCCTGAGGACAAACTGAGGTCCAGGGCAGTGGTGAGTGCTCAGTGTGAGAGCCTGCAATTTAGACAGATGGCCTGGCCTCTCAGCTGAGCCCCCAAGACTGCCAGACATGCACGCAACTTGGCCTTGAGATTGTGCTGTTAGAAAAGAACAGGACAGGAGAGAGAATTCGAAGGGTTCCCTTGCCACAAGCTTCCAGCACTGCAGGGAAGCAGAGGGACCTTCCGGCACCCACTCCACCGCAGGCTCCCGAGTGGGCACTCTGGGAGTCCCCAGCAGAGAATCTGGTAGCTGAAACCGAATTAGGACCTCCCAGGGCTTCCAGAGAGCCTCTTGCCCTGGCAGATGTAGGGTTTAGGGACCACTCTGTCCCCTCACCCAATCTGGAATTCTGCGCAGTAAGCACTTGGTAAATATGGTTGACAGGATGATGGAGATATCCACCCCCTCCTGTCAGTCTCTGCCCTTCCTCCATGCTCTGCATAATTGATGGCCAGGGAGGCAGTTCCCCTCCCCCAAGGTGACCGAATGTCTAGGCCAGGGGCTTCTGGCATGACGTGCCCCCAAAGTCCTGGCGCCAAGGCCCAGCTGGGGGGCAGTGGGACACAGCTGGTAGGTCAGAGATAAAGGAAACTGAGAGGGGCTCTGTGTTGGGAGAGGAATCTCCAGTTGACTGTAGCTCCCTGGGGCCTGGCTTCCCCTGACTCCCTCAGGTCAGTCTGGAGGAGCTGTGTTAGCCTAAGGACAGGCTGGCGGTGGCCTGAGGAGCCCAGCTAGAGTCCCTCCCTTTCCCTGGATCACATCTCCTACTTCTTCAGGTAACTCCCACTGCCCTAAAAGACAAACAGGTGAAATGGTTTCTCTCCTTGTCTCCCTAGTTTCGAGCCCTGGATACCAGAGGGGCCTCTGGGGAAGCCTAGTGAACTGGAGGGAGGCTTGGTGGCAAGTGCCTGAGCATGTCACCCTCTCTATGCCTGAAAGTCCTAGTTGCCAAACACCACATGAGGACTGAGAACTTTAAAAATCCAGGTGTGGTGCCTAGTCAAGGCTCAGCTTCTAAATAGGAAAGACTTGGGAGGGCACAGATGGTCTCCACGTTTTCCAGTTCTTTCTCCGCTACTTTTTTCTCAGTACCCTCTCTGCTTTTCACATTCAGGTGTTCATCCTTTTCCGATTTGATTCTCCCTGCGCTTCACCGTTTCGGTCTCTGAATCTCTCCGCTAGCCACCCCCTCCCCGCCCCGTTCTCTGGGTGTGCCTGTTGCCCTTTCTGTGTCCCTATCTCCCCATCTCCTGCTTTCTCTGTGGCACTGCTCCCCACATTCCAAGCCGAGTCCCCGCGCCCCAGCACCAATGGCTCTCCCTCTGCTCGGTGCCCGGGCTGAAGATGTGTCTGCATGAGGGGTCGAGGGAGGTATGCGAAGGAGGGCAGCGCACAGGCGGCCGACTGAGGGGGCCCGGGATCGGAGCCCATGATTCCCGCAGCGCTCCTGACCACCAGCACATGGACCGGCCCGGGTCAGGGGCGGGGCCCAGGCGCAGCCCCGCCCCCGCCCCCCAGCCGCCGCCGCCGCCGCCGCTCACGTGATTCTGGGCTAATCTTGTCCTGGTGACTTCACACGCCGCCTCGGGCCCAGTCGTCATGGTTACGCCGCAGCGCCCAGCGCTTCCCCCAACCCGCTGAGTCCCCTCCCCTTCCCCACCCGGACCCCCTCCTTCCGCCGCCGGGCCCCCGCCCGGTTCCAGCCACGCGCCCCGCGCCACGTGACGGCCGGGAAGGAGGTCGGGAAGGGGGAGGGGGCGCTGGGGCCGTAACCCCTTCCTCCCCGCCTCGGAGGTCCTTCCTGGGGCTTCCCGCGGGACCCGCGAACGGCCTGATCCAGCCCACCCTTCTTGCGGGCCAGCCGCCCCGCCTTGGGGGCGCGGGCGAAAGCCCTGGGATCCTGCGGACTAAATTCTTGGCCTGGATTTGTTGGCATTACGGTGTACATCTACTCCCCTCCACAGGCGCCGATAGCTCGTAGGATATGTTGAGGATTCAGAGGCTGGATCTGACTGTGACTAAAGCTTTCTGAGTCTGTTTCCTCAAGAATATAGAGGGACAGACGGGTACAGCTCCATCCCTGGGTGGCGGTGAAGAGCCAGGGAGCTCCTGCGTCCTTAGCATAGGGGCGGCCTTTAAGACCACGGTCCTGCCCGCACGCCGGTGCTGGGCGAAGCCTGGGATCCCGGGCGAGAGCGTCGGGGGGGTCTCATGGAGGGCGGGCTGTCGGAGGAGCCGGACGCCTGAGCCCACAGTGCCTCCGGGCTAATGGGAGCCACGACGAAGGAGGTACAGGGCGGGCTGTGCCGGTCCCGACGGATATCAGCTCAGAGCGGGGTGGGGGGAAGACAGGGAGGAACACTTCCAGGACTGAGTGAGATTTGGAGAGATGGCCGGGGAAGCGACTTCCAGGCAGAGAACGCCCGGGGTCGGAGCTTGCGGCTTTTCCTCAGAGAGGGCACCCCGGGCAGATTATCCAGTACCTCTGCCACTTGGGGCGAGTGTCGTTTTGAGGATTAATTGAGCTAATGCGCCTGTCGGCAGAGGCTAACATACATCCTAAGCCTTGCCTAAAAGTTAGCCATTCTCTTTAGGGGCCCTGGCACAGAAGCCCCATGTAGCCTGGTGTCAGTTCTATATGGCCCGGGTGCCAACAGCAGTGGGAGACGAGGCTGGCGAGGGACCAGAGCATGGAGATACGGCTTCTGGGCCAAGGGCAGTAGGGAGTTCTTAAAGGGCTTGAAGCAGAAGAGGGGGTGATGGCCAATCTGTGTTTTAGGAAGATCCTTCTAAAGAATGGTGGAAAATGGAGTTGGGGGGTGCACTGTGTTAAGTACTGGGAGACTGGTTAGCTGACACAGCCAGAGTCCGAAATTAAGACAGTGAGGTGGAACTAGAGAGAACAGACTGGCATTGGGTCAGAGCTTTTCAAATGGGCCAAAGTCAAGTAGGAATCACCTGAAGTGCTTGTTAAATATGCATGTTTCAGGCCCACCCACAAACACTGAAAAATCCTTGAGAATCCTGGAAATTGTTACGAGAGTTGATACCATCAGGAGTGCCAAACTTCCATGTCCGTCTGTGTCATCATCCAGTGGCCCCTTTTTATGTGTAGATTCCTGTCCCTCCTCTCCCGTTGTGATTCAGAGGCTCTGGTGCAGGGGTTCAGGAAGGACCCTAATATGAGGAACAGAGCATCACTGTCCTCAGGAATCCTCACATATCAGGATCCGTTAGCAGACTAGATGTGGAGGAAGACGGAAGACTAGAATGACTCCAGATGCCAAGCTCTGGACAGGTTTGGTATAGGTTGAAGAGTTTGCTGTGCCTGAGTGATGATAGCTAGTTTATCCCTTTTGTACAGTTGGAGAAATTGAGGCCCAGTCCAGTTTGCCTGAGGTCACACAGCCAGTGTGTGGCAGAGGCAAGGCTAGAATTCAGATTCTGTTTTTAAACATTTATTTATTCGAGAGGGAGACAGTGCACAGGGAGAGGGAGAGAAGCAAACTCTGCTAAACATGGAGCCCGACACAGGGCTTGATCTCACGACCTTAAGCCGAAATCAAGAGTTGGATGCTTAACCGACTGAGCCACCCCGGTGCACCCAGACTTTTAAGATTTATTTGGGGCCTCTGGGTGGCTTAGCCAGCTCAGGTCATGATCTCAGAGTCTTGGGATTGAGCCCCACATCAGGCTCCCTGCTCAGTGGGGAGTCTGCTTCTCCCTCTGTTGCTCCTCTCCTTGTGCTTTCTCGTGCTCTCTTTCCCACTTTCAAATAAATAACATTTTTTTAAAAAAGGATTTTAATTCTTAGAGAGAGGGAGTGAGTGAGCAGGAGCTGGGGGAGGGGCAGAGGGAGAGGGAGAAGCAGGCTTCCCACTGAGTAAGGAGGAGCCCGGATGCTGGGCTTTCTCCCAGGACCCTGGGATCATGACCGGAGCTGAAGTCAGATCCTTAACCAACTGAGCCACCCAGGTGCCCTTAGAATTCCGATTTTTTTAATGGTCACTTTTTAAATAGCACCTAGTTACGAGAATTGGGACAAATCTCCATCTTCTGGAAAGCTAGTACTTGGTTTGGAAGCTGTGGATGGGGTGATGGAGAAGAAGCAAGGAGACAGGGCCTCTGTAACTGACCCCCTGAGGGAGCAGCAGAACTGATGTCAGGCCTAAGGGGGGTGAAGCAGTAGGCTCCCGCTCGTCCTGACCCAGCGTCTGCATCTGCCTCCCCACTGGATGGCTCTGCCTTGTCTTCTGCCCCCCTCCATCCCCACCCCCGCCAGTTCAGCTGAGGGACTGCAGGCTTCCCTTACCTTGGCAAGGCCCAGGTGTGTGTGAGCACTGGAGAGGGAGTCCCAAATGAGAGCCCGAGGGTGCCTTGGGATGACTCTCACCTGAGGCTAGTGTTCCTGTGAAGCCTCAGCCATCTCACGTGTAAGTACACCAGTGGGAGCCCCAGTTGCCTCCCCAGCACGTGGGAGGCCCAGGAATGTCCTCTCGGAGTGCCTGCGTGTCACCTGTGTGCGCCTCGGTGCCAGGGAGACCTCAGGTGTTACTATCACAGACCTGAGGCTGAGACTCGGGAGTAGAAGGTGTACGTCTGAGAGACCCTTATGTGACTTCTGCGTGTGCATGGGAGCTTGAAGTGACAGAAATGGGAGCTCCAGAGGTGAATTACAGTAGTCTTCCAAGGAGAAGGGGACGAGTCTGTTACCATAATACTTGAGTTTCTGGCACAAGCTCTGGGTCTGTGCCTGAGTGTGGGGCTGTTGCCTGGGTCCACCTGAGAATGTTGCTCAGGGATGTTACTAATGGAGGCTCCAGAGGAAGCTCATGCGTCGGGTTACTGAGATGGGTCGCCGAGGGTGAGCGCAGCTCCAGTGGTACTTCTGGCGGGGCTGTTGGGGGGCCCGGATCCCCCACCAGGCTTCTGCCTCTGAGGCGCAGCCCCAGCTGACCCTCCCTCCCTTCCTCTATTCTCCTAGGGCCCACGGCCCCCCGCCGCGCCCAGGCCCAGAGGCCATGGCCTGCCTCCATGAGACCCGCACACCCTCTCCCTCCTTCGGGGGTTTCGTGTCCACCCTGAGCGAGGCGTCGATGCGCAAGCTCGATCCGGACACTTCCGACTGCACCCCGGAGAAGGACCTGACGCCCACCCAGTGTGTACTCCGAGATGTGGTGCCGCTGGGCGGGCAGGGCGGGGGCGGGCCGAGCCCCTCTCCGGGGGGAGAGCCGCCCCCTGAGCCTTTCGCCAATAGTGTCCTGCAGCTCCACGAGCAGGATGCAGGGGGCCCCGGGGGAGCCACGGGGTCACCTGAGAGTCGGGCGTCCAGGGTCCGAGCTGATGAGGTGCGGCTGCAGTGCCAGAGCGGCAGTGGCTTTCTGGAAGGTCTCTTCGGCTGCCTGCGACCTGTCTGGACCATGATCGGCAAAGCCTACTCCACAGAGCACAAGCAGCAGCAGGAAGGTAGGCCGCATCCTCATGGGGGCCCTGTCCCTGTCTCCCCGAGACCTGGTGGGCAGCCCCATCTCTCCCCCGGGGCCCAGCCATGGCCCCTCAGCAGCACCCCCCGCAACGCCCTGGCTTTGTCGGAGGCCCCCGTTGGCTCCCTTCCCTGTTCCCCCAGCCCTTGCCTCCTTGGCCTCTTGTGGCTTGTTTTCAGCCTGGGCCCCCGAGTCCCTTCAGCCAGCGCCAGGCTTGCCCCTATGCCTGCCCATCCCAAGCTCCCGCGCGTGGCTCCCTCCGAGCCTGGTGGCACTGCGCCTCCTGTTCGCAGACCTGTGGGAGGTCCCCTTTGAGGAGATCCTGGAACTGCAGTGGGTGGGCTCGGGGGCCCAGGGCGCGGTGTTCCTGGGACGCTTCCACGGGGAGGAGGTGGCAGTAAAGAAGGTACGGGACCTGAAGGAGACGGACATCAAGCACCTGCGGAAGCTGAAGCACCCCAACATCATCACCTTCAAGTAAGGTCCCAGGCAGGGGTTGAAGCCAGGGCCACTGGGCTGTGGGCAGGGGTCAAAGGGGGCTGGGCGGGGACAGGGGGTAGGGAGGGTCGGTTTCCAAGTGGGAATCAGGGGCCTGCGAGGCTGGCCCAGGCCCTAATGCCCCCTTTTGGCCCCCAGGGGCGTATGCACCCAGGCTCCCTGCTACTGCATCCTCATGGAGTTTTGCGCCCAGGGCCAGCTGTATGAGGTACTGCGGGCTGGCCGCCCTGTCACCCCCTCATTGCTGGTTGACTGGTCCATGGGCATCGCCGGTGGCATGAACTACCTGCACCTGCACAAGATTATCCATAGAGACCTCAAGTCCCCCAAGTGAGTAAGCCAGTAAGCGCAGAGAAGCTGATGTGCATGGTCTCCTGCAAGTGACCCCCCAGCCAGTGTAGCCGGCTCCCTGCTTCCAGATCCCCGTCCTGAGTCCATGTGGCCCATCTCAAAAACCCTTCCCAAATGACAGTCCTATTTCGGGAGGGCTGTGGCAAGCCCCCGGCCTCTGGGTGTCCCAAATGACTTAAAACAAAGTTAGAGTTGCTGCAGCTAGAAGAGGTGTGGAGCGGGGCCTGGCCCCCAGCTGACTACGATCTTTACCAGCATGCTAATCACGTACGACGATGTGGTGAAGATCTCCGATTTTGGCACTTCCAAGGAGCTGAGTGACAAGAGCACCAAGATGTCCTTTGCAGGGACAGTAGCCTGGATGGCCCCTGAAGTGATCCGCAACGAGCCTGTGTCCGAGAAGGTCGACATCTGGTGAGGGCTGGGCTGAGCACTGAGGCGGGCAGCTAGCCAACCCTAGGGAGGGAGGGGGCTTCCAGGGCCTCTGGAGGGAGCCCCTCCCAAGGGATGTCCCCTCTTATCCCCAGGTCCTTTGGCGTGGTGCTATGGGAACTGCTGACTGGTGAGATCCCCTACAAAGACGTAGATTCCTCAGCCATCATCTGGGGCGTGGGAAGCAACAGTCTCCATCTGCCTGTGCCCTCCAGCTGCCCAGACGGCTTCAAAATCCTGCTTCGCCAGTGTTGGTAAGGACAGCCTGGCAAAGCTGGAAAGTGAAGGGTGGTTGCTGGCAGTTGGACGGCACCTGGAAGCCAGGCCTCCAGGCCCAGATTCCTGGACAGGGAAAGAGGGCCTGAACTCCCTCGTGACTGAGACAAACTGTGCCGCCTCGGGCAAGTGTTAACACCCCGAGCCCGTTTCCTGGTCTGTATAAGACAGACCCCAATCCCGGCTGGCCAGAGCAGCCGGGGTGCACCCGCAAAGGGCCAGCACAGCCCCGGAGCACAGTAACTGGAGCGAGAGAGCTGCGTTAGAACCCAGGAAGAGAGGGCCCTAGGGCCTTGTTTGGAACCTAGACTCTGAAGGGAGGTTGGCGATTTCCCACCTTTGGTTTACCATTTCCCCAAGCGTGTCTGTCTGAATGGAGTTACTCAGAAAAAGGTGTTCGGAAAATAGGGTTAAATAGGTTTCCCTACCGCAGGACCTTGATGTGCTAATGGGGGAGCAGAGCCAGTGGACCAAGGAGCCAGTCACGGAACACACTCTAGCGGTCTCTTCTCCAGGGCACATCTGGGGAAAAGATGCTCTAGTTCCTTTCTGGTCATCCCTAAAATTTCTGTCTCCATTCCCCCCTCCAACTCCATGCCCTCCAGGAACAGCAAACCAAGAAATCGTCCATCGTTCCGCCAGATCCTGCTGCACCTGGACATCGCCTCAGCCGACGTCCTGTCCACACCCCAGGAGACTTACTTTAAGTCCCAGGTGTGCTGTGGGTGGAAAAGGGACACCTTTACTCCCTCCCTCTGCAGAGAAGAGTGTGCCCTCTGAGGGGATGTGGGGATGGGTGGAAGGGATGGTAGGTTCGCTCTTGGGAGGGCTGAGACCCCCCATCCTGGCCAGTCCCGTGCCTACTCCTCTGTGCTCAAAGGCGGTCCCTCACCCCTCATTGTCTCTTCACCCCCAGGCAGAGTGGCGCGAAGAGGTAAAGTTGCACTTTGAAAAAATTAAGTCAGAAGGGACCTGTCTGCACCGCCTAGAAGAGGAGCTGGTGATGCGGAGGAGGGAGGAGCTCAGGTGTGTGCATTTGTCTGGGAAGGGGATTTCGTCACCAGCAGGGACCCTGGACCAGTTCCCAGAGACCGGGACTAATTGCAGCATCAGGTGACACTGGCTCACCTCAGAGACCCTTCTGCCTGTTTCAGACACGCCTTGGACATCCGGGAGCACTACGAACGGAAGCTGGAGAGAGCCAACAACCTGTACATGGAGCTTAATGCCCTCATGTTGCAGCTGGAGCTCAAGGAGCGGGAGCTGCTCAGGTAACCGTATGCACCCCACGCATCAGATCTCATCCTCATGGAGCTGTGACGCAGGGAACCTACAGAGCCTGGGTCCCCCTTTCTGATCACATGCTGGACTGAGGGGTCTTATCTTTAGAAGGGAACAAGCTTTAGAGCGGAGATGCCCAGGTCTGCTTAAGTCACACCCTTCCCGAGGCCTCCTGCATGGAAACACTATGGAGAAGCTCATCAAGAAGAGGAATGTCCCACAGAAACTGTCACCCCACAGTAAAAGGTGGGACCAGAGTTCTCAAGTGGTGAGGCTGCAGATCGGCAGGGGGAGTGCTAGAAGCAGGGGTGGAGACTGAGGATGCCCAGATGATGATCTGTGGGGGGGTGGGGGGGATAGACTTTGTACTACCCAAGGTTGGGGAGGGCTTTCAAGTTTGATGTTTTAAGATTGCTCTGTTCATCTCAGACTTGTACTTTCCCTCCCCTACCAGGCCAGATATCCTCAAGACTGAATCTTTGCTACCTAAACTTGATGCTGCCCTGAGTGGGGTGGGGCTTCCCGGGTGTCCTAAGGGCCCCCCATCACCAGGACGGAGTCGTCGTGGCAAGACTCGTCACCGCAAGGCCAGCGCCAAGGGCAGCTGTGGAGACCTGCCTGGGCTTCGTGCGGCTTTGCCACCCCATGAACCTGGGGGACCAGGAAGCCCAGGGGGGCTAGGAGGGGGACCCTCAGCCTGGGAGGCCTGCCCTCCAGCCCTGCGTGGGCTCCACCATGACCTCCTGCTCCGAAAGATGTCTTCATCGTCCCCGGATCTGCTGTCAGCAGCACTGGGAGCCCGGGGACGAGGGGCCACAGGGGGAGCTGGGGATCCTGGCTCACCACCTCCAGCTCGGGGAGATACCCCGCCAAGTGAGGGCTCCGCACCAGGCTCCACCAGCCCAGATTCACCTGGGGGAGCCAAAGGGGAGCCACCTCCACCAGTAGGGTCTGGTGACGTTGTGGGGCTGCTGGGAACTGGAAGGGAAGGGACAGCGGGACGGGGAGGAAGCCGGGCTGGGTCCCAGCACTTGACCCCAGCTGCACTGCTGTACAGGGCTGCTGTCACCCGGAGCCAGGTAAAGTATGGGGTGGTTCCTAAGCTCCTACCCTTTCCTCGTTCTCCCCTGGGCCCAAGTCCACAACTCACCTCCCATATTAGGTCTTCATCTTAAGCCATTCCCTACTTAACCCTAATGACTATGTTCCCCTTCTCTTGGGTCCTTGCTGACCTCTTCCCACTTCTGACGGCAGTCCACTCCTCTTCTCTCCTGCAGAAACGTGGCATCTCATCAGAGGAAGAGGAAGGAGAGGTGGACAGTGAAGTAGAGCTGCCATCAAGCCAGAGGTAAGTGACACGTACAGTAGTGACAGTGTTTTGCTTAGGGGGCTGCGGTGTGCCAACTGTAACCCTGGCCTCTCCAACATACAGGTGGCCTCAAGGCATGAACATGCGCCAGTCACTGTCCACCTTCAGCTCAGAGAATCCATCTGATGGGGAGGAGGGCACAGCCAGTGAGCCCTCCCCCAGCGGCACACCTGAAGTTGGCAGTACGAACACCGACGAGCGGCCAGATGAGCGGTCTGATGACATGTGTTCCCAGGGCTCAGAAATCCCACTGGACCCACCTGCATCAGAAGTGGTTCCTGGCCCCGAACCCAGCTCCCGACCCATCCCACACCAGGACCTACCCAGAGGGGAGCAGGTGAGTCTCAGAAACAACTAGGCACATTAAGAGCAGACGCTTAGTTATTTAGGACTTTAGAGGTAGACAAAGACACCAGAAAGCTCAGTATTTAGCCTCCAAATCACTCAATATGCGAGCCCAGTTCCTCCCGTACCAAGGGGCCTAGATCCACAGGGTGGATCTGAGAGGCCCAGGGTATAGAGCATGTAGCACGGTTAGTAGGTGAACGGTGCTGCTTGTACAGTAGCTGTAAATCGCAGCCAGGACGAATCCTGAAACCGGGAACCTGGTGCCTTGGCATCTCATGGCCTCAGCCACTGAAATCTGAAGACCGTGAAAAATCAGGGAGCTGCTGGCTATTACAAGACCTCAGTGAAGGATCCTGAAGGAATCTATCTGTAACACCAAGAGCTGCTGAGCCTCCCCTCACTGTACTTTTCTTCACAGGGCCCTCCCACTAATGAGGACTCAGACTGTGACAGCACTGAACTGGACAACTCCAACAGTGGTGAAGCCTTGCAGCCTCCAGCCTCCCTCCCTCCATGAAAGCCACTCTGATTCCTGTACATAGAAAAATTATTTATATAAATAATATATAAGCGCCACATAATCCACAGAGAAAGATGGGGCTGTCCCAGCCTTAAGTCAGGCTCAAGGGAGTCTGACCCCTGACCAATTCACCTGATGAAACTCTAGGGCTACTGGCAGCTGTGGAAATGGAAGGACAAGTACTACCCTAGAGCTGTGGGTATGGGCAGACTGGCCCCTTCCTGCTTCACCCCATTATGTTCAGCGAGCGGTAAGGCAATAGAAAAGCCAGACTTGCCTCTTACGTTCCTCTATACTCTTTTCCCCCAACCCTGGGGAGGAGGAAAGGGAGCCACTTAGACTGCACTTTTTTGTTTTCCGTTTACTCTGTTTACACATTTTGCACTTGGGAGGAGGGAGGCAAAGGCTGGGTCCTCCCCTCTGAGGTTTCTCAGGTGGCAATGTAACTAATTTCTTTGTCCCTCCGTTTCTCTGCCCAAGCCCTGGCTTAGGGCCAAGGGGGAGATTAGGAGATTGTGAAAGCATGTGATGGCTCAGGCTAAAGGAAGGGGATGGAAGTTTTAAGTCCCTGCTTTTATCCTGGTGCCTGATTGGGGTGGGGACTGTCATATTGTAACCCCTGTGAAAAATCTTAAAATATAGCCACTCCACGCAGGCCCAGATGTTGAGGGTTTTCTTGGTGAATGTTTTATGGGGCAGTACACATGGCTGAAGTAGGAGCCTTGGGCTCCAGACATTATCTGAGGACTCTGGACAAGTTCTTCCCTCCTTTTATGCTTTCTTCCCCCCACTAAATGAACATTGCTTCAAGCTTCAACCTTCTAAAATCATCTGCATAAACGAGAGCAGGTACATCTTTCTGGAAGGACTTTAGAAGACAGAAAATGTTAAAACACATATTCTTAGAACTGTAAATGAACATTCAAAACAAAAGACTGGTTTTTAGCTTGGCCAAGTATGGGACAGACATGCCCAGCAACCTGAATTCCAGTCCGACACACACGCATTCAATTGCTCCCACAGTATGCACGTGCATCCTTCCCCAGCCCCTGCCCACCCAGTGGAAGTGCTTGCCTATTTTTTGCAGACAAGTCCTAGGTAAATGTAACCCTCCTCCAAACTTTCGGACAAAGGGCACACGGCTAGCTTGAACGTTATTTGGTTACTCTGCAAGGTAGGCTCAAGGGAAAATTGGTTCAAGGGCTACAAAAAAAAGATGGAGTGGTAAAACAGAAGAAAACATCTTAACTGGAATAAAGGCTTATATTCAAAACCCAAGTAGGGTCCTTGTCCTCTGAGGCATAAAAGGTGCAAAAAGAACAGCAAGACAACAGGAATAAAACCCACATGAATCACTGTGGCATCCAGTTTCTATTCACAAAGAAAAAGCTCCAGTCCATCTTTTAATTTTTTTGAAAAATTCCTGACATTACAGAACTAAACTGAAATGTATTAATATTCCACTCTTACATTTCCATGACAAACAGAAAAAAAAATTCATGAGCCAAAAAAAAAGGGGAGGGAGAAGCTTATAAAACTAAATATGGATCTCAGCATTAACAGCTGAACAGAGAAAGGAATTAAAACGCTTTAATTAAAAAATCACGAGTGGATGATAAAGTGTGTAGAAACTGAAAATTTACAAACTATTTAAAACCTGGAATCGCTGACTGTTCAGAAACTACACAGATGGATCATGGGTGGTGGTGAACAGCAGAAAGGGATTATGGATGAATCTGCATTGTTCTAGCTGCTCCCCATGCCACCCGTCTCCGAGGAAAGCCTGTAACACAAAAAATAAACAAGAACTCAAAGTTAGTTTTTTGAATGCCCAGCTGTACCTCTCTGAAACTTTCAATGTCAAAGGAGACATTTTAAGATTTCCTGGATTAACTTGTACCATGACTCCCTAACCCCTGTAATCCAAGCTTTCTGAGGAAAATTATCCCAGAACTGAAGTAAACAGACTCTCATTGCCAACTGTGGGGGCTCCTCTAATGAAGCGCTTTGGAGTATCTGGGAGATGTTAGATGCTTTCCAAAACTATGCCACACACCAAAACCTCCTCTTATAGGGTCCTACTACACAGAAGCACCTTTTCTTTACTAAGCTTATTTTAGCTCCTCCCAAGCTACTGATAGAAAGCAGTTTAGGAAACCTTTATCTGAAAGTAGCCTCATGAGGCTAATATTGACCCAGAGCGACAAAGGCTTCTGTCCTGGGTTTCTCTAGCATTGTGAAGGCTATTCCACTAAGAGATAATAGTTTTAAACGCTAGGGGATGTTAAAAAGGGAAGAGCAAGTATACTAAGTATACTTAAGAATTACACCCAACCTATCGCCTTCAGACTTAAAAAGCAGAAGCCAACATGTTTCAACAATTCCCTGGTTCACTCTAGAAGCTCCCAAAGCTTTGGGCTCCTCAAGCTAAACTCTCCATTCAGACATACCCAGCCAGCTACAGTGCCTTTCTGTCACAGATATATCTTATCACTTGAGGTCCTGGAACCCAATTCTGAACTCTGAAGGAGGACTGTTTAGGTATTTATAGCCTGCTTCACTGAGTATTACATACCCAGTCTTAGCCCCCGCTCTGAACAGAACTAAATGTGTAAGGCTCCGTTTCAATTCATAAATTTATTTCATGAGGCTTTTCAACCAACTGGCATAACCTATTTGTGGTATCTAGTCAAGAACAAAATGAATGGTACTCCGCCATCTCTCTGCCTTCAACAACAATGCAAAGCCAAGGTGGTGGGGGGTGGGAAAGGACAACACAACACCCAAGAACCAGGAAACAGGTCCTTCAACTACAAACTGTATTTAAGTCTAAAATGGTATTTCTACCTCAGCATAAAGAGGGAATAGTTAGTTCTTTTATAGGGGGGCAGATTCTCGCCAATCTCAAAAACAGGATGACCTAGGGCTACATAATAAGCAAATAGTCCTGAACCTCAGAGTTTGGTGGGGAGTGAAGGTTCAGGATGGAGCTGCTGGAACAATTCTGGTCTAAGACCTAAAAGAAAATTAAGTTCATGCAAGAAGGTCATGGCACTCAGGCAATAAAAAGAGCTCAAAAAGAAGTATCCAGAATTTAGGGGCACCTGAGTGGCTCAGTCATTAAGTGTCTGCCTTCGGGTCTGGTCATGATCCCAGGGTCCTGGGATGGAGCCCCACAAGGGGAGTCCCTGCTCAGCCGGAAGCCTGCTTCTCCCTCTCCTACTTCCCTCTGCTTGTGTTCCCTCTTCTCGCTGTGTCTGCCAAATAAATACAATCTTAAACAAACAAAAAAACCTATCCAGAATTTATATACAGCCTAAGCAGTGACTGAGGCAGGGGGTGGAAAGGTGGCAAGAAGGGAAAACCCAACCGGAATACCACGCTAAGGACTCTGTAATAAGAAGGACCACATAGGGAACCCAAAAAGTTTTTTAAAAATTTAACACCAATACCCCTGGAGGTCGTGGTGGCAGCTGGCATCTGCCTCCTTCCCTGCACTCCTCCGTTAGAGAGCACTCATTAGGTAAAGAGGCCTTCTATTCAAGAACTAGATAAAATAAAAATCTGGTCTCTGGGGGGAGACGGTACAGGCAGAATTAAGTCCTAACTAGAGAGAGAGTTAGTTTATTAAGGGAGAGCTGGACCATATGACAAAGGAGCACCAACAACTAACAAGAGGAAACTATCTGGACAATGAAATGAAGGCTGCTCCTCTGTGCAAACTCAGGACACAGAACACTAATTTCATAGGCCAAATGTGGGACTGAGAGACCACAACGCCATGAGATAACATGCTGCAATACTTATCAGCAGTTATGTTTTTTAATACTGTAAACCAAATGAGATGCGAGAAAAGGTCAACAGAAAAAAATCTCTATACTAATTATCTTAATGCCCTAAGAAGAGCCATATGCATTTAGGTTGAATAGGAGACCATGCATGAGAGGCCTTCTGCCATCACACCTACAGCACTTCTTCTAGTCTTCTGTGGAGAGTGAGCTGTGGTCTTGGGACAAGGAAAATGAACTTCAAGGAGATAAAGTACACTTGAGTTAAAAGTGAAGCACAAGTTGTTAGTGCAGATTAGTCACTCATGTGATCTGTGAATTTAAATTCTCCAAGGCTTTTGTTTTTTAATCTGGTAAGTGAGGGGACTGGTGAGTTACAGTTGATCTTAAGGATTCCTTCTAAATCTATGTTTATAATTCTCTACTTGTGAGAGGGTTGGTGGGAGACAGAAGCAGGGGCAGGGAACAAGGAAGGGTAAAGGAATTTAGTAATCAGGGTGGGCTTGGGATGACTAGAGAATCCTGTCAAATTTCAGATGATGTTACAGGCTGGTTGTTCAAGATTTACCCAGTGTCATAGGAAGAGGGATACTTCTCATTCAGAGAAATGCAGACAAAAGCCAGTCAACTTTATTAGACTTTTTCCAATTTGCCTTCCCATTCTAGGTCAAGAAGTAACTTCTTTATATGTATGCTCTATAAAAGATTCTCACAGTAACCACTCACCAGAGGCAACAATCCTGGGATGGACACCCTTGTTACCTGCTGCTGTTGGCAAGATAAGGGATCTGAGAGGTCAGAGAAACTGGTCTTTCACTAAAGCATCTTAATGCCAATTAAGGAAGACCCTCAGGCTGTAACCTGCTACAGGCCCATGTCCTTTTGTGGGGAATGACAAAGGACTGCTACTGAATCAACCAGGGACACAAACAGGTCCAAGTCCACGTTCCAGACTCCCTAGTTGAGTAGCCACAGGTCACAAGTGCCCACCCCGTTACCCTTCACAGCACACAGTCAACTAAAGTTCTTACTGTGGCAACTTTATTACAGCTAGAAACACAAATCTGGCCACAACGGCCTGCTGATAACTTAACCATTAAATAATTTTTAAAAAGGGGGGGGGGTTAACGGAGAAGCTTTTATTCATTAACACAGAGCCTAACACATTGTTATATTGCAATGCAGAATAAAGCTACAAAAAAGTAACAGAATGAAAAAGAAGAGCAAGAACTGTGGCTCTAGATAAAGAATTCAACAAGTCAGACTCTGAAACAGGCACTCAGATGAAATGGCCTAACCCTAACCCCAGGTTACCATTACCCCCACCCCCACCCCATTATGCCCCAAATAGTAAAAAGGAAACGATCACAAGCTCACAATTGTTTGGTTCTCACCAATGTTAACAAAGAAAAACAAAATGAACCAAGAAGTACTTGAGGGGGTACCTCAAGATACTCAATCAGTAGGGGGAGAATCTCTGTTTCTCGCCTTTCAGTTTGTTAGTTACACATGGCACGGCAGAGGTGGTGGTGGTGGTAGCAGAAGCCCCGGTCCCCTTAGCAGCAGACACAACATTTAGAGCCAGGAGAGGGATGGGTTTCATGCCAAGCAGACTGGAGACACAAGGGGCGGTCGGAAGAGGGTTGGGGAGGCTGGAGGGTGCGTCGGAGGTCCCCGCTGTGGCGAGCGAGGGGGTGGTGGTGGAGGAGGAAGAAGAAGAAGAAGGGGTGGAGGGTTGAGAGAGGTTGATGCTGAGGTGATCAGGGATCGTGACGGAGGCTGCCTGGGAGGAGGGTTTAGCGTTTTCTAAACTGTAACAGAGGAAAAAAGGAACAAAAAAAAAAGGGTGGGTGGAAGGGAAGACCACAAAAG